GAAGATATGAAGACCAAGACTGTGTCCCCCAGTATGGTGTCAGTCTCCTTTTGATTTATATAAGCCGGTTTACCTCGCTTTCGCAACTTGGTATTGTTGTCACGGGGATTTAGTAGAACGCACCTTGTCCGAAGTCAATTGCTATAGTAGTTATCATAATTCCCAGCATAAGACCGTGGACTTGATAAACAGTCGTTCGCGTAATCCACCTTTGGCAGCGCCTTCCTGTTAACGATAGTATTTTGATATTTAACTGAGTCAGACATTCAGTTTGTACAACACCTACCAGTCTGTGGATTACGTAAGCAAAATACACAAGAGGTCATATTTCCTTGTATTAAGTGAGATAGATGGGCTTGCAAAACAGCTGCTCATTTGTTAAATATATTATAATATTCATGTGAAGAGAAGAGAATAGAAGAAATTTCGCAGTTAAATGAATTATCAGGAGAATAGGAGGATTATAAGATGAAGAGCTACAATGAATAGATAGCCTGGTTAAACCATGAATGTGAAAAAAGATTATGTATATTGAGCAATGACAGCATGCATATAAAAAATAAAGAATACGCATTTCTGAGTGCCCAAATGAAGAATATATGTATCTTATTAACTGAAATTTAGCAGACATTTAACCCTAACAAAGGACATAAAGGCAAACCAACTCGATATAGGAAAATATGATAAGTCAAGAGGAAATGCCGCAGGCTATGAGTGGTGTGATAATTGTACGGAATGCATCTAGTGCCTTAGGAAAATACGGTTGATTTCAAAGCAGACCTATTTCACCTCGATGTGGTGCTGCCAATCGAGAAGTTTCAAAGCATGGAAAGACGAAGGAATGAATCTTAGAGATAAACACATGCAAAAATTAGACTAGAATTATTGACAATATACATAAATTATTGCTTCTCAATTTAGGCATCCAGCTGAAGCAGCAACCACACTTGGATTGATGATTTCCTCGCCAAGAGCATTCAGAATTTCGCACCTATAGTCATCGAAATCTCCGTCGATTTCATTGATCATTTGATCTTCAATCACCCAAAGCACACATTTCGAGTCACGAATAAGGCGTTCATCATGACTCACGATTACAATACCTGAGCAAGTTAGGAATAATAACAAGATAAAGCATCAATTTGATTTACGCGGTATGGTCAAATGGCATGTTTTAACATTGTTTGTAGTGAATTTTTTGCCAAACAGACATGATAGTGAAGACTTAATTGAAGCAAACCAAAATGCTACTCCATAATAGCATAGAGCCGGGCCTCAACGGCTACAATAGGTATTTTATTTGGTCTCAGTGATCAAGCTCAAGAGATTGGCTCAAAAGTCACGCAAATTAGACGCTTATGCCTGACCAAAGGAGACGATTGTCTAGTAAAGCACGAGTAGTGAACCGTGAACTCACAATCGAGAAAATTTACGAGGTAAGTTGGTATGAGAGTTGAGAGAGAGAGAGTTGTAACTCAATCATTTGCATCATCATCTACCCAATATTTAGTTGGCTCTGATTGCTTGATTTTAATGATTACAATAAACTAATTTGAGCTAAGTTAGGGTTAGAACTCTAGTCTAATATCGCTCGAACTTAATTCACTAGCTATGAACGTCTTGAGAATACATTTGAGCTTTAACATGTTATGCCCTGAGTATCCAGGTCGCAACCACTGGATTCACCCTGATCTCAGAATCGAAACATTTCCATCCTCTTTTCCTTGTTCCAATTGTTAGCTGCATGGGTCATAGATGTAGTTTTTTGTAATCATTCTCATATAGTGGTTCGCCTTTCCGCACAAAACAACTAGCTCCCGTTAATACTTAGCACCTGCCAATACAAGATGGAGCCGAACTGGCCGAAATTCGTTTGTTTATTATTCTCTACTTTTTCGAATGAACTAACTAAACGTTTTCATCCATTTGAATAAAAGCTAAAAACAAATTCATGGTTCTTCTATGCTCTCTAGCGTTTGCAGATTCAAGGGAGAGATCTACAAAGGACCTACAATTTAAAAAGATGTGTTTGATGAATTTCGAATGCACTCAAGCACACATGAAGGCAAATACTGGCAGTAAAGTAGTTAATTAAGGACCGTATTCATTCTATAGCGAATAATCTAATGAAAGATTGGGGGTTGAATTTCCCCACAATGACGAGTGGGCCTCCCAATTCCAGTGAATTTCACTTCGCCTTGCTTCCTAAAAGGTATTCTCATCGAAGCTGGGCTAGTTTCGGCCTTGCCTGAGTCTCATCCACACCCAAAAACACGAAACGAACCCGGATAGCGCAGTGTGCCAAATTTGACATTTTACCAACAGGCCACACTGTTACAAGACAAGTGTGTGCTTCAAATTTTCCACATCACATTTTGTAGTGGGATTCTCGATATATCATACTTATATTTGCAATTGAAATCAACTACAAGACTTATATTCATAAGGAGTAAGTGTAGAAATTACCGATAGACCGAGAATAGGAGCTGTATTAGCCCTAGGCCCAACTAGCATCTATCCTGTTGGCTACTGGCACTCGTGGCAGTGCGACGTAGTGATAGAAATTTGAACTTAAAAGCTGTACTAAAAGGTCTAGATTCCAATATGATTATGAGAAAATCCAGCCATTAAGCACTTAGTATCTTATGCGAGCTAGGATGAATACAGCTCTTGTTGAAGATATACCCGTGGTTTCGAAGCCTAATCATTCTAAATTCAAGTATCTAGAAGCAATCAAATCCTTCCACAC